CTATTTCGTGAGTCGCCCAGGACTATTGGGGATGAAGGACGTCATTCCTCTGTTGCAACGTCCTGAACAAATGCTGTTAACAATGGCTGGTCAGCGTGCAGTATAGACGTGGCGCACAGATCTCAACCCCACAGTGACCCCTGAGGATCAGAACCAGGAAAAGGAGGAGGCGAGGTAAGGAGTGACATTTTGTGCTCAGTAATTTATTGAGTGAATTGGTGGTTTTTCCACTCAGCGGTACAGGAGTGGAGAGGCAGGGAGCAAGTGTGTAGAGGAGGGAAGGAGGAGGAGGACAGAGACCCCAGACGCACCGTGGCAGTATGCCTGTGGAGATGGAGGCAGGGAGTCCCTCGCATTCCCTTGCACAAATGGCCCATAGCATGCTCGTTGCTTGCGTAGCGACAGTCCGAATAATAAGCATCAGACAGAGGAATGACTTTTGCTGTCCACCTTGTTGGACCCCTCACAACGTCAAAAAAATGGTGCCTTTTTCAACACCTGCTGAGAGAGGAGGCCAAAATAACGTACTATAAAAACCAACCTATGTAGTCAAGTTTAGTGGTCTCTGCCTATGTGCCGCAAGCGTTCCATCTTTCATACACTGTGGTCCCTGGGCCTCGCTTCCACTGCCATGGGCAGCAGGGGAGGGGTGGGTGGTAGGAGCAGTGTGCGTAGCTCCACCAGCAGCGGCTGCCTCATCTGCAGTCCCGATGATGAGTAGCTTTCTTCACCAGCGCAGTGAGAAACTACTAACCAGCCGGGCACAGCAGCAGCATCAGTGGACCTATAAGCAGTACCTCAAACAACACTTGGGCCTACTTGGACAGCACCCTGCCAACCGAGGTTACACAATCCCCTTAGACTACTGGGCAGACGAAACTTGAACCTTTGGCCCCAACTAGCTGATCTTGCCCTTGAAATGCTGTCATGCCCCCGGACAGTAGCGAGGCATCGGAGCGCGTGTTTAATTGCTGGCAGGAGGTAACTGAACTCCGCGTGGAAACGACTGTCCACCCTAAGTGTGGAGAGACTCACGTTGGGTGAAAAAGAATCATGGCGTGGATTAGTCTGGATTTCAAACCACCATATTCCGTGACACAACGTGATTTAAATCCCCATGAATCATGCCCCACTGCCATGTGCCACTTTCAGGTCTACTCACACTGCTGGTGTGTTCCCATTTTTGTGTCATAGGGTGCTGGCAGATTACAGGCCTCCCATAGCTGCTTGCCAGGGCCCCTAATCTGACCATGGGCCCCCTAATAAATTTTAAATATTATTACCGCCATTCCTCATGCTCAGCGCATTGGTCCAGAGTCTGTCCGTGGGTCCCTGTAACGGCCTCCCATTGCTGCTGTCTCCATCGCCACACCTCATGCCATGTGCCACTATTCCAGGTCCTCCTCACACTGCTGGTGTGTTCATTTTTTGACATAGGGTGCTGGCAGATTACGGAGCCTCCCATAGCTGCTCCAGGCCCCCTAATCTGCCATGTCCCCTATAACCTCCTTCCTCGATCGCTAGCTGCCAATTCCAGAGTCTGTCATTGGGTCCCTGATTACGGCCTCCCATTGGCTGCCTGTCACCAATCGCCACACTCTGCAGTCTGCCATGTGCCACTTTGCATGTCTCCTCACACTATGGTGTGTTCAATTTTTTGACATAGGGGATGCTGGCAGATTCCGGGCCTCCCATAGCTGCTGCCAGGGCCCACTAATCTAGCCATGTGCCCCTGATAACCACCTTCTCGCATGCTGCTGGCCAAGGTCCATAAGTCTGTCATGGGTCCCTGTACGAGCCTCCCATAGCGCGCCTTGTCCTCCATCGCCACACTCTGCCATGTGCCACTTTCTTCTGGTCATCCCTCACACACTGCCTGGTGTGTTTTCAATTTTTGACATAGGGTGCTCAGATATAACGGGCCTCTCCATAGCTGCTGCCAGCCCAAAACTAATCTTGCCATGGGCCCCTATATAAACCGCCTCCTCATGGTCCTGTCCAAGTCCAGAGTCTGTCATGGGTCCCCTGTACGGCTCCCCATCAGCTGCTTGTCCATCCATCGCCACACTCCTGCATGCCACTCTTCCAGGTCTTCCTCACACCTGCTGGTGTGAGTTCAATTTTTTTTACATAGGGTGGCTGCAGATTACGGGCCTCCCATAGCTGCTTGCCAGGACCCCTAATCTCATGGGGCCCCTATACCTCGCCCTCCTCATCGCTGCTGCCAGGTCCCAGAGTCTCCTCGACATGGTTCCCTGGACGGCTCCCCCAATTGCTGCTCGTCTTCCATCGCCACACTGTGCCATGTGGCCACTTTCAGGTCTTCCTCACACAATGGTGTGTTCAATTTTTTTGACATAGGTGTGCTGGCAGATTATTACGACGGGCCTACCCATACTGCTAGCTGCTGGCCAGGCCCCCTGAATCAGGCGCATGGGCCCCTATACCACCTCCCTCATCGCTGCTGCCAGGACCCAGAGTCTGTCATGGGTCCCCCTGTAAACGGCCTCCCATTAGCTGCTGTCCTCCATCGCCACACTCTGCCAGGTGCCACTTTCATTCAGGTCTCCCTCCACACTATGGTGTGTTCAATTTTTTTGACATAGGGTTGCTGGCAGATTAACGGGCCCTCCCATAGCTTCATGCCAATGCCCCTAATCTGCCATGGGCCCACTGAAACCCGGCCTCCTCATGCTGCTCCATGCCAGAAGTCTCTCATGGGTCCTCTGTACGGCCTTCCCATTTGCTGGCTGTCGTCCATCGCCACACCTCTGCCATGATGCCAACTTTTCAGGTCTCCTCACACTGCTGGTGTGTTGAATTTTTTTTGACATTGGTGTGCTGAGCAGATTACTGGCCCTCCCATATCTCCTGCCAGGCCCCCTAATCTGCCATGGGGCCCCTGTAACTCCGCTCCTCATGCTGCGTGTCCAGGTCCCACCGAGTTGTCTCATGCCATGTGCCACTTTCCAGGGTCTCCTCACACTTCCTGTTGTGTATCAATTTTTTTGACATAGAGGTGCCTGGGCAGATATACGGGCCTTCCCCATACTGCTGCCAAGCCCCTAATCTCTGCCATGGGCCCCTATAACCGCCATCCTCATCAGCTGCGTGCCAAGTCCCAGAGTCCTGTCATGGGTCCCTGTACTGGCCTCCCATTGCAGCTGTCCTCCATCGCCACACTTCTGCCATGTGCCACTTTCAGGTCTCCTCACACTGCTTGTGTGTGTTCAATTTTATTGACATAGGGTGCGGGCAGATTAACGGCCTCCCATAGCTGCTGCCAGGCCCCTAATCTGCCATGCCCCTATACACCGCCTCCTCATTCATGCTGCTGCCAGGATCCAGAGTCTGTCGTGGGTCCCTGTAACGGCCTCCCCATTGCTGCTGCTCTCCATCGCCACACTCTGACTCTGGCATGTGCCACTTTCTTTCAGTCTCCACACACACTGCTGGTGTGTGTCCAATTTATTAGACATAGGGTGCCTGGCAGATTACGGGCCCTCCCAAATAAGCTGCCCTTGCCCCCAGACCATGCCACCTAAACTGCCATGGGCCCCTATAAATACGCCCTCCTCAATGCAGCTAGCCAAGTCCAGAGTCTGTCCATGGGTCCCTCTGTACGGCCTCCCATTGCTGTCCCTGTCTCCAATCGCACACATCTCCTGCCATGTGCCACTTTCAGGTCTTCCCTCACATTTTTTTCCCCCCACACATATGGTGTGCTCAATTTTTTGACCATAGGGTGCTGGCAGATTACGGCCTCCCATACTTGCTACAGCCCTAGGCCCCAAATCTTCCCATGGGCCACTATACCGCCTCCTCATGCTGCTGCCAGCTCCAGAGCGCTGTCCTGGTCCAACTCTGTTCAACGGCCTCCCATTGCTGCGTGTCTCCCCACGTCGCACAACAACTCTGCCATGTTGCTCAACTTTCTGGTCTCTCTCACATCTATGCCAGTGTTCAATTTTTTGACCATTGGTGCTGGCATATTACGGCCTCCTCATACACACTATGGTGTGTTCAATTTTTTGACATCTGGGTGCAGGCAGATTACGGGCCCTCCCATAGCTGCTGCCAGGCCCTAATCTTCCAGGGCCCTCTGTATCCCAGCCCCCTCCTCCTCAATGCTGCTGGCCAGGTCCACAGTGTCCTCATGCCATGTGCCACTTTCCAGGTCTCCTCCTCAAACTACTGCTGGTGTGTTCAATTTTTTTTGACATATGGTGCTCGCCAGATTACGGGCCTCCTATAGCTGCTTGCCAGGCCCCTAATTTGCCATGGGCCCCTATACCCACCCTCCTCATGTGCTGCTGCCTAGGTCCAGAAGTCCTCTCATGGGTCCCTGTATACGGCCTCCCAATCGCTGCTGTCTCCATCGCCACAACATCTCTGCCATGCCCACTTTTTCAGGTCTCCTCACACCTGCTGGTGTGTTCAATTTTTTTGTGACATAGGTGCTTGGCAGATTACGGGCCTCCCATAGCTGCTGCCAGCGCCCCTAATCTGCCATGGGCCCCTATACCCGCCTTCTCATGCTGCAGTCCAAGCTCCAGAGTTCTGTTATGGGTCCGCTGTACGGCCTCCCATTGCTGATTGTCTCCAACGCCACACTCTGCCCATGTGACCACTTTCAGGTCCCCCCCTCCTCACACTGCTGGTGTGTTCAATTTTTTGACATAGGGTGTCTGGCAGATGTACAGGCCACACAATAGCTGCGTGCCAGGCCCCCTAATCTGCCTATGGGGCCCCTATAATAAAATACCGCCTCCTCATCGCTGCTGCCAAGATCCAGAGTCTGTCATGGGTCCCTGGTACGGGCCTCCCCATTGCCTGCTGTCTCCATCGCCAACACTCTGCCATGTGCCACTTCTTCAGGTCTCCTCACACTATGTGTGTGTTCCAATTTTTTTGACAATAGGGTGCTGTCAGATTACGGGCCTCCCATAGCTGCTGCCAGGCCCCCTAATCTGCCATGGGTCCCCTATATAACCGCCACCTCATGCTTGCTGCCAGGTAGTCCAGAGTCTGTCATGGGTCCCTGTACGGCGTCCCCATTTGCTGCTGACTCCATCGCCACACTCTGCCATGTGGCCACTTTCAGGTCTTCCCTCACACTGCTGGTGTGTTTCAATTTTTTTGATATAGGGTGCTGGCAGATTACGGGCCTGGGCCCTAGCCTTGCACGCTGTCTGCAGTCCCCTAATCATGCCATGGGCCCCTATAACCCATACCGCCTCCTCATCTGCTGCCATCCCGAGTCTGTCAATGGGTCCCTGTACGGCCTACCCATTGCTGCTGTCGCATCCATCGCCACACTCTGCCATGTACCACTTTCAGGTCCTCCTCACACTGCTCTGTCATGGTCCCCTGTACGGCCTCCCCATTGTGCTGCTGTCTCCCCATCCGCCACACTCTGCCATCGTTACCACTTTCAGTCTCCTCACACAGCTGTGTGTTCAATTTTTTGACAAAAGGGTGCTGGCAGATTACAGGCCACCCATAGCTGCTGCCAGGCCCCCCCCTAATTCTGCCATGGGCCCCTATACCTGCCTCTCCATCTGCTGCCCCGCCCGTCCCCAAGTCCAGAGTCTGTCATGGGTCCCGTGTATCGTGCTCCACATTGCTTGCTGTCCTCCATCGCCACACTAAACTGCCATGTGCCACTTCATAGCCTCCTCACACTGCTGGTGTGTTCAATTTTTTGACATAGGTGCTGGCATGATTACGGGCCATCCCATAGCTGCTGCCAGACCCCCTAATCTTGCCATGGGCCCCTATAACCACCATCCTCAAAGCTGCGAGCCAGGTCCAGAGTCTCTCCTGGTCCCGTGTACGGGCCTCCCCATTGCTGCCTGTCTCCATCAGCCACGATACAAATACTGTGCCATGGGTGCCACTTTACAGGTCTCCTTAACACTATTGTGTGTCTCAAATTTTTTGAATTAGGGTGCTGGCAGATTTACGGGCCTTCCTCCCATACTGCTGCCAAGGCCCCTAATCTGCCATGGGCCCCAGATATACCACCTCCTCATTGCCTGCTGCCAGGTCCTGAGAGTCCTGTCCAGCGGTCCCTGTACCGGCCTCCATTGCCTGCTGTCTCCATCGCCACACGCTGCCATGGTGCCAACTTTCAGGTCTTCCTCAAACTAATGGGTGTGTTCAATTTTTTGACATTGGTTGCTGGCAGATTACGGTGGGCCTCCCTGATAGCTGCTGCCAGGGCCCCTAATCTATCTGCCATGGACCCCTGTACCGCCCTCCTCAAATCGCTTGCTGCCAGTCCACAGGTCTCATGCCATGTGCCACTTTCAGTCTCCCTCACACTGCTGGTGAGTGTTCAATTTTTTTGCACATAGGGTGCTGGCAGAATTACGGGCCTTCCCTATAGCTGCTGCCAAGCCCTCTAATCTGCCATGGTCCCCTATACCACCGCCTCCTCATGGCTGCTTGCCGAAGCACCAGAGTCTGTCATGGGTCCCTGTATCGAGCCTCCCATTGCTGCTGTCTCCTCCATCGCCACACTCTGCCTATGGTGCCACTTTCAGTCACCTCTCACACTGCTTGGTTGTGTGTTCAATTTTATTGATATAGGGTGCTGGCAGATTACGGGCCTCACCATAGCTGCCTGCATGCCCCTAATCTGCCATGGGCCCCTATAAACCCCCCGCCTCCTCATGCTGCTGCCAAGTCCAGAGTCTGTCATTGGTCCCTGTAACGGCTCCCATTGCCTGCTGCCCCCTTCCATCGCCACACTCACTGACCATGTGGCCACTTTCAGGTCATCCTCACACTGGCTGGTGTGTTTTCAATTTTTTGTACAGATGGTGCTGGCAGATTAACGGGCCTTCCCATAGCTGCTGCCAGGCCCCTAATCCTCTGCCATGGGCCCCCTATAACCACCGCCTCCTCATGCTGCTGCCCAGGGTCCAGAAGTCTGTCGTGGGTCCCCTGTACGGCCTCCCCTTGCTGCTGTCTTCCATCACCACACCGTCTGCCATGTGCCACTTTCCAGGTCTCCTCACACACTGCTGGTGTGCTTCAACTTTTTGACATAGGGGTGCTGGCAGATTACAGGCCTCTCCCAAAGCGGCTGCCCAGGCCCCTACTCTGGCCATGGGCCCCTATAAACCAGGCCTCCTCATCTGCTGCCAAGTCCAGAGTCAGTCGCATGTGTCCCTGTACGTCTCCCATTGCTGCTGTCTCTCATCGCCACAGCTCTGCCATGTGCTCACTTTTCAGGTCTCCTCACACTATGGTGTGCATGCTCTATTTTTTGGACGATCAGGTGTCTGGCAGACTTACGGGCCTCCCATACTAGCTGCCAAGGCCCCTAATTCTGTCCATTGGGCCCCTTTATACCAGCCGACCTCATGCTGCTGCCAGGTCCACGTCTGTCACGGTCCCCCTTGTACGCCCTCCCATTGCTCGCCTGTCCTCCTCGCCACACTCTGCCATGTGCCACGTTTCAGGTCCTCCTCACACTTAATGGTGTGTTCAATTTTTTGTACATTGGGTGCTGGCAGAGGTTTACGGGCCCTCCCATAGCTGCTGCCGATGACCCCTAAGTCTGCCATGGGCCCCTGTACCATGCCTCCTCATAGCGCGCTGCCAGGTCCCACAGTGTCTCATGCCATGTGTCCACTTTCAGGTCTCCTCACAACTGCTCCGGTGTGTTCAATATTTTTGACATAGGGTGCTGGCAGATTACGTGCCTCCTATTAGCTGCCTGCCAGTCCCCTCGTAATCTGCCATGGGCCCCTATAACCCGTCCTCACTCGCATCTGCTAGCCAGAGTCTCCAGAGTCTCTCATAGGTCCCTGTACGGGCCTCCCAATTGCTGCTTGTCTCCATCTCGCCACAATCTCTGCCATGTTTTTGCCACTTTCAGGTCTCCTCACACTGCTGGTGTGTTCAATTTTTTGAACATAGGGTGCTGGTCAGATATACGGCCCTCGCCATCAGCTTGCTGCCAGGCCCCTAATCTGCCATGGGCCCCCTATACTCGCCATCCTCATGCTGCCTGCCAAGTCCAGAGTCTGTCATGGTCTCCTGTAATACGGCCTCCCATTGCTGCTGTCCCTCCATCGCCACACTCTGCCATGTGCCACTTTCAGGTCTCCTCACACTGCTGGTGTGTTCAATTTTTGATATAGGGTGCTGGCAGATTACGGGCCTCCCATGTAGCTGCTGCCACGGCCCCTAATCTTCCCATGGGGCCCCCTATACCCGACCGCCATCCTCATGCTGCTGCCAAGTCCCAGAGTACTGTCCATGGGTTCCCTGTACGCCTCCCATTGTCTGCTGTCTCCATCGCCACACTCTGCCAATGTGCCCACTTTCAGGTCTCCTCACACTCTGCTGGTGTTCAATTTGTTTTGACATAGTGGGTGCTGGCAGATTACAGGCCTCCCATAGCTGCTGCCAGTCCCCTAATATCTGCCATGTGGTCCCCTATACCTGCCTCCTCATAGGCTGGCTGGCCTCAGCCAAGTCCAGAGTCTGTCATTGGGTCCCTGGTACGGCCTCCCATTGCTGCAGGGTCTCTCCATCGGTCCCCCACACTCTGCCATGAGCCACTTTCAGGTCCACCTCAACACACTGCTGTGTGTTCGCAATTATTTATGGACCATAAGGTTGCTGGCAGAGTTAACGGGCCCTCCCATAGCTGCTGCCCAGCCGCCTAATCTGCCATGGGCCCCTATACCGCCCCCCCTCCTCATGCTGCTGCCAGGTCCCAGAGTCTCTCATGGGTCCCTGTACTGCCCTCCCATTGCTTGCAGTCTCCCATCGCCTACACTGTGCCATGTGCCACTTTCAGGTCTCCTCACACTATGGTGTGCTACACATTTTTTTGACATAGGGGTGCATGTCAGATTACGGGCCTCCATAGCTGCTGCCAGGCCCCTAATTCCTGCCATGGGCCCCTATACCAGCCTACCTCATGCTGCTGCCGAGGTCTAACCAGAGTCCTGTCACGGGTTCCCTGTACGGCCTTCCCATTGCTGCTGTCTCCTCCGCCACACTCTGCCATCGTGCCACTATTCAGTCCTCCTCACACTATGGTGTGTTCAATTTTTATTTTTATTTGACATTGGGTGCTGGGCAGATTTACGGGCCTCCCATAGAGCTGCTGCCAAGGCCTCCTAATCTGCCATGGACCGCCTTGTAACCCCACCCCGCCTCCTCATGCTGCTGCCAGGTCCACAGTGTCCCTCATGCCATGTGCCACTTTCAGGTCTCCTCACTACTGCTGTGTGTGTTCAATTTTTTGACATAGGGTGCTGGCAGATTTAACGGGCCTTCCTATAGCTTGCTGCCCAGGCTCCCTAATCTGCCATGGGCCCCCTATAACCACCGGCCTCCTCATAGCTGTCCTGCCAATTTGGTTTCAGTCCCCAGAGTCTCTCATTGGTCCCTGTAAGTTACGGCCTCCCATTGCTGCTGTCTCCATCGCCACAACTCTGCCCATGTGCCACTTTCAGGTCCTCCTCACACTGGCTGGTGTGGTTTCAATTTTTTGACATAGGGTGCTGGCAGATTACGGGCCTCTCATAGCTGCTCGCCAGGCCCCTAATCTGCCGATGTGCACCTATAAATATACCGCCTCCTCATGCTGCTTGCCAAGTCCAGAGTCCTGTCATGGGTCCCTTAGTACGGCCTCCCATTGCTGCTGTCTCCCATCGCCACAACACTCTCCTGCCATGTGCCACTTTCAGGTCTCCTCACAACTGCTGGTGGTTGTTCAATTTTTTTGACATAGGGTGCTGGCAGATTACAGGCCTCCCATAGCTGCTGCACAGCCCCTAATCTGGCCATGGCTCCCTATAACCGCCTCCTCATGCTGCTGCCAAGTCCAGAGTCTGTCATGGTTCCCCTGTACGGCCTCCCATTGCTGCGGTCTCCATCGCCACACATCTGCTCTGCCATGTGCCACTTTCATGGTCTCCTCACACTATGTGTGTTTCAATTTTTTGACATAGGGTGCTGGCAGATTACGGCCTCCCATAGCTGCTGCCAGGCCCCTAATCTGCCATGGGCCCCTGTACCGCCTCCTCATCATGCTGCTGCCAGGTTCCAGAGGTCTCTCATGGTCCCATGTACGGCCTCCCATTGCTGCTGTCTCCATCGCCACACTCTGCATGTGCCAACTTTCCAGGTCTCCTCACACTGCTGGTGGTGTTTTAATTTTTTTGACATTGGGTGCTTTCAGATTACGGGGCCTCCATAGCTGCTTCGCCAGGCCCCTAATCTGCCATGGGCCCCTGTAAACCGCCCTCCTCATCGCCTGCTTGCCATAAGTCCAGAGTCTCATCATGGTCCCCCTGTAAGCGGCCTCCCATTGCCTGCAGTCTCCATCGCCACACCTCTGCCATGGCCACTTTCAGGTCTCCTCAACAACTGAGCTGGTGGTTCCATTTTTGTCATAGGGTGCTGTCATGGCCTCTCCATTGCTCGCTCGCCTCCACCGCCACAGCCTGTGCACCACACTTCTCTGGATTTGGCCCCGTGACTGCCCAAATGAGTGAACTGTGTGGTGATTCTAAGATCGACGGCAACTCATCTGGATGTCATACTGACTGTCAGTATTATTTCTCTTCCCCCCAGCAGACTCCCAAGGGCATTTAACTTAAAGGTACAGTGTATCTGCACTAATATAAAGTCTCTCTGAAGCACTAGAAACACCTTTTATAAGTTAAATTCGCAGCGAATATATTTCGACTCGAATCGAAAATTTTTCCACGAATTCGCCGAATCAGTCCCGAATCGAGAATTTTTTGAATACTTCGACTACATCTCTAGAGAAATTAACATACAGGTTTACATATGCTCCGTTTACATATGCTCACAATTAGAGATGAGAAGCTAAATTTTTTCAAAAATTCGATTCTGGCTGATTCGGGCCCTAATTCCAGGAAGAAATTCGTTCGATGCGAATTAATTCGCTACGAATTAACTTATAAAAAGGGTTTTCTATGCTTCAGTAGAGCCTTTAAAATTAGTGCAGAACACTGTAACCTTTAATTTAAATGCCCTTGGAGATGAGGAAGGAGAAGGAGAAGGATGAAGGATGAGAAGAAGGATGAGAAAAGGAGAAGGATTGAGAAGAAGGAGAAGATGAGAATGAAGGAGAAGGAAGAAGGATGAGAAGAAGGACAGTTCTGTGACAGTTTCTGTCTATTTCTGACAGTTCTGTGACATTCACTCCATACAGCGGTTTCAACCGCTGTATTGAGGGAATGTCCCAGAACTGTCAGAAATAGTCTATTTCTGACAGTTCTGGGACATGTATGGAGTGAATGTCCCAGAACTGTCAGAAATAGTCTATTTCTGACAGTTGTGGGACATTCCCTCCATACAGCGGTTTCAACCGCTGTATGGAGGGAATGTCCCAGAACTGTCATAAATAGTCTATTTCTGACAGTTGTGGGACATTCACTCCATACAGCGGTTTCAACCGCTGTATGGAGGGAATGTCCCAGAACTGTCATAAATAGTCTATTTCTGACAGTTGTGGGACATTCACTCCATACAGCGGTTTCAACCGCTGTATGGAGGGAATGTCCCAGAACTGTCAGAAATAGTCTATTTCTGACAGTTGTGGGACATTCCCTCCATACAGCGGTTTCAACCGCTGTATGGAGGGAATGTCCCAGAACTGTCAGAAATAGTCTATTTCTGACAGTTCTGGGACATTCACTCCATACAGCCGTTGAAACATTGTATCTATTTGTTTCCATAAATGACATTCTGCAGATACACTTAGAGAGGAGCTCTGCAGATACACTTTTTGCCGGCTTGGAATTTTCTTATTTTCATCCTACTTCTTCTTCTTCTTTCTTCATCCTCATCCTCTTCTTCTTCTTCTGAGGATGAGGATGAGGATGAAGAAGAAGAAGAAGAAGAAGTAGGATGAAAATAAGATTAATTCCAAGCCGGCAAAAAGTGTATGTGCAGAGCTCCTCTAAGTGTATCTGCAGAGCTCCTCTAAGTGTATCTGCAGAAAAGAGGAACTCTGCACATACACTTTTTGCCGGCTTGGAATTATTCTTATTTTCATCCTACTTCTTCTTCTTCTTCTTCTTCATCCTCATCCTCTTCTTCTTCTTCTGAGGATGAGGATGAGGATGAAGAAGTAGAAGAAGAAGAAGAAGTAGGATGAAAATAAGAATTCCAAACCGGCAAAAAGTGTATGTGCAGACTCTCTGCAGGGACACTTTTGCCGGCTGATCGGGAAAAATCCGATTCGCGCACCCGAAGTAGGCAAATATTCGGATTCGACGCAAATCAAATTTTTTCCTGAAATTCGTATCGAATTCCGTTCGCCTGGTTCGATTCGCTCATCTCTACTCACAATTTTAATAATATACTATGTACACGG